CTGCAAATGACTGTCTCCTGGTTTATTCCCAGGGAGAGTCAGGCTCCCCTCATGGCTCCATCGGCTGCTGCAGCTTTATTGAGGGCGATCTTGATGACCACTTCCTTGATGATTTAGGAGACAAATTTAAGACTCTAGCAGAAATATGCATAGGCAGACACATCAACATGAAAGACAGTAGCTCCAGGAATGAGTCAGGTTTCAGTCTTAATGACTCAAAGTCACAGTTCTTAGATCAGCAGAATGCTTCCAGCTTGGAACAAGCCTTTGCTTCAGGCAGCCGCTTGCAGCCTGCCCCACCAGTGCATGCAGGAGAAGACACCCTGTCCAAGGAGGTGGTCACGGAAACAACCTTTGCATCCCACTCTGAGCAACATGATGCCCAGCCCTTTCCCACAGCCCACTCTGAGACCAATTTCACCGTGACAGAAATGTCCTATTCTGCAGGGGCTCCTGCCCGCTCGACCGCTGTCTTTCTAGACCCTCAGTTTAAGGAGAACATAGTGGTGACAGAGAGAGTGCTGGCACCTGCGTCAAGCTTGAAGGGTATGGTGGAAATCCCCGATTTGCCACATGAAAGTAACGTGGTGGTTACAGAGAGGATGGTGAAATCCGAGGGTGCTGGGCCAGGAGCCCTGACAGTTCAGGATCTCCCTGACTCAAAGTATGTTGTGGTGAGGGAGCGGGAGAGGGTGCTCGTGCCTGCTGCAGAGCAGGGCTCGCTCACATTCCCTGCTGGGGAAGGGGGCCGCAGCGTAGTGGTGAATGAAAGGGTGGTAACAGCCTCGGGGATGCAGAGCAGAGCTGAACAGGCAGCAGGTGCCGGCCCAGAAAGGCAAGACCACATCTTGATCACAGACTCCTCGCTTAACCAGGGGGGCTTAAAGGTAGAAGGGCCCCCTGCCAGCACCACACTGAGCAAGTCTTCCAGGGTCACCAAGTACAGCACGGTGCAGTACACTCGCTCCTAGCTTAGACCCTTGCAGGGGCGTCTGTGTCCGGCACTCTTGTGTCCACATGTGTCTTGCCTCAGGCGTTTTCTTGATACCTGAATTTACTGGCGCTTTCAGAGTGACACAGACTCACTTGCAGTAATTTGTATAAATAAGGTTTATGACCAGGAAGTTAGTAAGGAAGTCTTCTGCTGTTATGCAAGATTGGCAGCAATGCTTTTGAAGTGGAAAGATGGGGGAAATAATTTGTTTTCCCCTTTGTTTGCTATTTTTGTAATTGTTTTCCAGTACTCAGTTAGTGTAACAATAACACATAACCACAGCTGCATAATTGGGGGAGAATAGAAGTCTAAAATCTAGTGATGGACAGCAGTGTGCAAAGCACAAGCTAAGTTTCTGAACTGTTGTTTAGTGTGTAAGGAAGTTCTTTACTGTGAGGGTGGTGAGGCACTGGAACAGGCTGCCCAAAGAAATGATAAATGTTCCATCTGCAGCCATGTTCAAGGCCAGGTTGGACAGAACCTTGGGTGGCATGGTCTAGTGTGAGGTATCCATTCCTATAGCAGGGGGTTAGAACTAGATGAACTTACGGTTCCTTGCAACCCTGACTACTCTCTGATTCTGTATCTGCTGAAGTCACCCCTAAGGGGCATCAGTTTCTCATTGTATTTTGCCATCTATTACCTTGTGGGCCAGGGAAGCTCCTTCTGAGCTACAGCTGCTAAGAAACTGCTCCTTCATGAGAAGCACAGGCCAGCAAAGCCTGTACATCCCCAGTTGCTTTCCTGGATGTCACAACCTTGGGTTATCAATGTACCTTAAGCAATCAGTACTTGCGTATTAGCACAGGGATTTAAAGAGAGCAAGTAGTAAAAAAGCTGAGAATGCAAATTTTTTGGTACCTCGATGTAAAAATTCCATTACTTTGCTCTAGGCTGATATGACAAGTAAGCATTTGCATTGTATAGTTTTTCACTGGTTCTTTTGGCCTATTAAGAAGGTATGAGAAATAGCCAAAACTTATGTTAGCTTTAGAGCTAGACATTCACCTGGTGGCTTTGCTATCAAAGTTTATGGCCCTTAGACATGTGTAGGATCTGATTTCCAGGTGCAGTTAACTAAGTGACTTGAATTCTGTCTGTGATCTCACAGGTAAAAGGACAGAAATGCAGTCTGATGTGTGAGGTTCTGCTGGCTCCAGTACCAGAGCTCAAGTGACCTATGTAGTGCCATATAATGGCAGCTTTCCTTAGCTCTGACAAGGCAAGGTAAAGCCCCCCTATGTCTGCAACACTTAAGATTGCTTTTGTTTCCATGTACTTTATGTGGTAAAAACCAAAGACAGTACTGCACTGTTTGGCACTATATGTATATATGCACATGTAAATATTGATACACAGCCTGAAATGTTTTAAAGTGTATTTTGTTAAGGAAAAACTGTCATACACTCCTCATGTTTTTGCAGAGTAGGAAGTACTTGAGACCAGGTATTGGTACTGTGTTTATCTTACACCTGTAAAATCAGCAAGCTGGTCATACGGTACTGCAAAGCCCTTGCACCTGCAGAACTTCCTGGTTGTCTCCATCTCTCCTGGAATTTTCCTGCAGCTGCAGTGTTGTTATGCACTGATGTGTTTTGCCTTTGACTGGAAGTGCTTTCAGAGTATTTGATTTTACTGATAAAGTTGTAAAAGTTGATTCAAAAACGCAAACATCTGAAGTAGGAACCATGGCTATACTGAACATGGTGCATATTGACAGATGGACCATTACACAATTACATTAAATGGAGAAGTACTTCCAAGCAAATGACACTACTCCCTTGCATGGACCGGTTGGTTATTTATCTCTTAAATTTCATTTTCAAATATGTTTATTTACTTTTAAGCAAACATGCAGTTTTAAGTGGTCACCACTTTTTCCTGCTGTTACAGGGAGTGAACTTATCTCTGACTTTTTAATGGAATATTTTTATGTTTTTATGCAGTCTTAAAATAAAGAACTCTGCTGTATTTTTTTTATTTTTTTTTTTTTTTAGTCTTCATTCAGCTTTAAGCCAGCTACCCTGGAGAAAACACCAACTTTTCTAGTGCAAATAAAAGGTAAAAAGATAGAATGAGGATTGGGATTTCCTCAACGGCCTGAAGCAATATTTGGAAGTTGCAGATGTAATGAAAGTTGGTGTGCTACTAACTTAGAGATACTGAAAACAGTAAATTCTGCCTCCTGGTTAAGCACATTAAATTCTGGTAGAACTTGACCCAAGACAACAGCATCCCATCCACAGATTTACTGTGCTTTAACTCGAACTCTTCTTATCAGTTTATACATTCAGACAACATGGCATGAACTATTGTCTCAGGTTTTCAGTTGTTAAAACACATTGTTAATATCTAGAAGAAGATGCGAGGGCTGTGTGACAGAAATCCTGTGTTCACTGCTTGTTGTTTATATGCAAACTCTTATCACAGATGTGAGAGGGCTGAGTATTTGAATAGATTTGTTAAGAGTGGATCTCCATTATTTGGCTTAGTCTCCTCCCAAGACTTCAGATGCTATCAGTGTGTGCGAATGCTGGCAGAACATCCATCAGATTAAATAAGTCACTTCTAATGGAGCTCTCTTTTGTAAATTATGGTGGCTGAGGGGAGGAATGTACAGACCCGAACTAATGGAGATGCCTGGTTAGCATCTGACCACTAGATAACCCTGAGACCAGGACTAGCCCTAGTCTCTTATCTTTGCGAGAGATACCTCATTCTGACTTCAAAAGTAAAAATAAAGCCTGTCATTTTCTTATCTAAAAATAACAGAGCATGGTTATGTTGAAGTACCATCAGGACAGGGACTGTAACCATGCTGCTCATCTGTGATTTATGTTTCCTGTGAATCCTTATTAAGTGCATCAGACTCCACAAGTATGAACCAGCCTGCTGCACCAAGGACATGGCCATCTCCAGCAGTAGGGCAAGTGGAGTGACTGGCACAAGCCCCCATGAGAAAGCATTTCCTTTGTCATGCCCCAGAGTATACTTGGAGCCAGGCTAGACTTAGCAAGATGGGATCATCTCCTCCAGGGTCTGTTCTTTCCTAGAAGTTTGTCTATCATCCATCATCAAAGGCTTAAAGCTTGTCAGGGATATCAGCTGTAAATCAGGGGGTTTTAATGTTAACTAAGTCAGCTGCTCTCCCCAGGAGAGTTATGGTAAGCATTTATGGCCTTGAGGCATCCCAAAAATGCATCAATGTGTTGCAGTACGGAGCTAGTGGCTCTGGCTCTCTTCTACTGGCATCTTCTCCCACCTGGTGGCCTTTAATCTTGTAAACTCAAAACACAGTGACAGCCATTTGCTTTTCCTGCCTTTTGGGTAGGAAAGCTGGCCTCTGCCTTGTACCAGTGCATGTTTTCAAACACATTTGTCCAGCTGAACCAATTTGGGTAAAAACTGGGAGAGGGGAGGAATCAAGCTCCTTTCAGGTGTGAAGGCACAAGGCTGGGCTGAGCAGTGTCCCCAGGGATGCTCAGAGTGCCAGTTGGGTGTAGTTTTTGAGCCCGTCCTCACACACAAGCAAGGAAGCTCAGTCCCCAGATGTCTGGGGTCCTGTAGGTGTTCAGCTCATCATGCAGAATCTGCCAGCACACCCTGAGCTGCAGCGCAGCCCACGATGGGACTTGGGTTTGTTGGCTCCTATGCTTCTGGGTGTGTGTGGGCTCTGGCCCAGGGGCCATGCATGGAGATGGCAGAGGGACAACAAACAGCTGGCTAGCACACATACCCCTGCCCTGCCCACACCAACCTGGACTGCAGGCTGGTGGTGGGGCCAGAACTATGTTGTGTGTTATAGCTGGGGATCATGAGGGGGGCACAGAATGGCCAAGGACTCAGGGTTTTGGGCCTTTCCTCAAGGGGTTTGAACCCACTACTCTCTCAGCCGAGGATGCTCCATGTCGGAAGGTCTTCTGCCACACAGTCCACACTTCTGAAGCTGAAGCACACATTACAAAAGCTGCTGCAGATAATAGCCTTTGCATGGATTCAAGGCATAAGTGCATGGAAAAGCAAGCTATTGGGGTTACTGAATACACAGAAGTGGCTTTCAGCTCTGGGAAAGGCTGATAGCTGAGAGTTCTGGTGTGAAGACCATTTTCCATAGGCATCCCCCTGATGTCTGATGATGGTGATGGGATACTGGACAAGAAGGACCCTTGGTGTGATCCAGGAGAGGCTCAATATTGAGAACAGGACAGCAGTCACCTGAGGCAAATGGCAGTAGATTAGGGAGGTCACTGGATGAGGAGAAACAGGGTGTTTTGTTTTCCCTGAAGAGAAAGCAACCACTGAATAAAAAACTGATATGGGGCAGGGCCATGACTGTCAGAGAAGCCATGCTCCGTGCCCCAACCCTCTAGTGAGAGTCTGCCAGAAACAGCTGTAGTGACTCTTGAACCACACAAAGTTGTTGCAATCTGAAGCTCCCATGTTTTCTGGGTGTCCTCACCTCAGGAGCCAGCCCTGCAGGTGATCAAGTTCCCTGGCACATCCTATTACTCAGCACCCTGCCTGCTGAAAATCAAACTCAGGACTGATACCCCAAGAGGGGTACAGATGGCAACACAGTCTATGCAGAATAGATGCTGAAAGCTGCTCCAAAAATGGGCACCTTAACTGCATGTGCTGCCACACGGAGCATTGCCATGTCCATGACTTTCTGCTGCCTGCCTGCCACAACAGATGACAGCCTGGGCAGTACCGGGTGCTGGAGGGTCTTGGTTTTGCAATCAAAGAGGATACAGCCAAAATAGTTGTACCAGTAGTTAGCAATAGTAGCCCATGCCATCCTTCTCACTGCACCACATCTTTATTTCCACAGCTGGAAAACCCATCAAAGTAGGCAAAGCTGCAGATATAATTTTGAGGCAGACCAGGGCTGCTCCCCTATTGCTGGCTGTGAAACATGGGGAGGTGACCCTCATTTTTACAGCTCCCTATTCATGGAGCCACTGAGGCTATAATGAAATGGGGCATGAGGGCAGGAGGCATAGCTGAAAACTGTATTTTTATTCAATACTAAGCAGCCAACTGCTGAAGAAACCTTCCATCATTACCGTGTATTAGGTGGGAAGCCCAAAGCGAGAGGGAGTCACACTGCAGATGTTCCCTCTACTTCCTTATTTTCTCTTAGTTGCTGGAATACGTGTAAAATGAGAGCACTGGTTTTAAAATCGCCTTGAAACTCCTTTCAGTGAAATATACAACCTAAAGTGTCTTCAGCCAAACAGTGGGAATGCCTCCAGAAGGTGCTGTGGACATGCTTGTGTAACACCGCATGGCAGCCTGTTCTGCAGGGCACTGGGGGTGGGAGTGTTTATAGCCCTCCTGCCTCAGCTCTAAGCTGGTTTCTGACCTACTATTCAAATGTTTCATCAGGTTATTTCTCTTAGATCTTTTATCTCTAGTAAATAAAGCTCAGAGATGAAATATCACCTCCCAGTGATTAAGCAACAAACTGCATTGATTCCCTGGGTAATCATTAGCCAAGATCTTTGGAGCATGGCTAAAGTTTATACCCTGGGGCAGGACAGGAGCTTGAGAGGACAGTGCTGATACCAACTGATGGGTATCCCTCAGGCCTTGAATCCAGGCTCCTGAAGGAGCCAACTACCCTTCTCCTGCTGGGGATGGGGCATCTAGGAGCAGCTGTGGGACATAGGATGGTGGCAGACACTGAGCTGCTGGAAATGGCTTGGTGACACTGGGCAGCAGGAGGGCCCTGGGCTGAGTACCAGGGGCAGCACTGCAATAGCCCCCTGGGTGACCTCCAGCATGTCTGGTTGCCTTTGCTGACATCTCTTGCTACCCATGGTGGTCGAGCTGGTGCCTTCCTTGCTTCCCTTGCTTCCTTCTCCTCATGAAGAACTCCCAGCATTGCCTCTCTAATGTAAAGCAGATTCTTTTTTTCCTTTTTTTTTTCTTTTTAATCTGCAAGCATTACCAATCACTCCTTTCATCCTTCCTTGAGAAGAAAACCAAAAGCACAGATTCCAAGCAGAAGGAATTACGTACTTACGGCATCAGCTTTTAGATGAAGCCAAATCACGTCTCCCAGATGATGCATTGCACCTGATGTAACTCACATCTAGCAATACAGCTAGTGTTGAGATGTGATTTGCTCTGTGTGCAAGAGCACTCACTGTTTTACCATTTATCATCCTTTGGTACACAGAACACTTCTGTCCTGCAGCCATCATGCTCGACTTTTGCAATAGCAGGAAAGACACCTTTTCACTTGCCTTCCGAATGGTACCCCAGAGAAGTACTGTTAAAATAAAATACCTGTTAAAGTAAAGCTTCCTTGTCATCCGTTCTACATTTGTTTTGTTCCTGTAAGATATAGGAGAGCTGAAATACAGACCCATACAAATACTTACTTTTCCATAGTCCTGGTAACTTGAAGAGGGGCTATTCCTCCTTCCTACACTCTTCCTCACTGGGATAAAATATTTTTCCCTAACACAGACCAACCGAACCATATCCATGCAGAGTTCTGTGTGAGGGGTTTCAGGCATCTCTTAAAACAAACAAGCAAATTAGACTGTCAGATGTGTAACCTTTCCCACATTAAATAACATTCTAATGGGTGGTGCTAGTGGAATTAGTAGTTGAGTTTATAGCACTTTGGCTGAAGGGCTGTCAGCTGCGGCAGACAAAGCTCAGACTGCAACCAGAGTAGATCTCAAGGACATGCCCTAAAAGAGGGGTGGAGAATCATTCTCACACCCTGTTCTTTGAATTAATAAGCATTAACTAACAAGTGACCTTATAGCATCTTTGAAGCTGTTAGTTAAAATGCTCTTACCAAAGACAGGGCAGATAAACAGGGTGGAACTGATCTTCTCTCCCATTAAAATTTCCCTTACAACTTGAATAAAGGCAACCACCGTTATAAACTCTGCTTAATTTCCTGTCTCACTCTGCTCATGTTACTTCATGAGATTAGTTCAAAATACTTGAAAGACATTCAGAATCTTTTCTTTTTTTTTAAGAAAAAAAAAGCCAAATCTCACCTGCCTTTAAATCCTCACCCCTTCTCATTGTGTTCTCCTTCTGCCAAATCCAACAAAATTCCTGCAAACTCGTTTAAAATTAAGACAAGACATAAATATCTTGCACATGTTGAGCATAACACAGGATTAGCAGCTGGGAAAGCAAACAAAGTAAAATTGAACTCATAAATTAGTCCAGGTCAGTTATAGAAGCATAATTAACTGTTCAAGGATTAAGGAAGTCTTTTAAAGAAGACATTTAAGCAAGCATTCTGATAAAAAAAACCCCTGAGCATTCAAGGCCCCCACTAACCCATTTATAAGAGAGATTTCAGTCTATAATTCACCAAAGATCACCACTGTATTGTGACCCCTTTCCCATAGCACAGTCTGGCATCCCACTCTGCAGGGTTTGGCTGGTATAGAGTTAATTTTCTTCCTGGTAGCTCCTATGATGCTACACTTTGAATCTGTGACCGAGTGTTGATAACAGAGGGATGTTTTGGTCATCACTGAGCATGAGTGTCAAGGCCGTTTCTGCCTCTCACATTGTCATGCCAGTGAGTAGGCTGGGGGTGCACAAAGGGTTGGGACTACGGCCACAGTGCAAAACCCAAAAGGAAGAGCAGTACATGGTGCTGGCCTGTGCTTTTCAAACGTCCTACGCAGGTTTTCCACTGAGAAGGAATATTCTGCCCTATGACAAAACAAAAAGAAGAATACTTCTGAAGCACATGACTGGAACAGAAACATCTGTGATGTGATCTCATGTGAGGAGCAAGAAAATGAGTTGAGGTAGAAAGCTACAAGCAGTGAGGTTCTCGTGTAAACACGGGTTTAGGCTCCTGGAAGCTTATTTATTGCATCATCCGAAGTTTTGGATTAACAGAAAAGGACAATGTGGCACAGTATGTGGAGGCATGGAAGAAGGAGAGAAGCTGTTCTTCTTAAAATTGTTTCTGGAAGAGAATGTGCTGAATCTACCCCCCAGTCTGAGCTTACATAATTATCTGCTGTGTATTTGAGAGAAATAAACAATCCATGAGGAATGTTTGCTGCATGGGAAGGAATTTATACCACAAATAAATTAGCAGTTAGTACCACCAGGGTTCATTTCAGAGAGAGTCTCCTTTGAAAAGCCCTGCCCCTTGGATAACCCCTCTTTGTTTGTCTCCCACATCTACCTTTTCCTGATGAGCTCTATAGCCAGATTAAAGGATCAACAGGAATCAAAATACTCCACTGTGCTGCCTACTCATCCAGCAGGCTCTGTGCTTTTTTATTTAGAGGAGTCAGAGTCTGACAATATCTGACTTACCCGAGTGCATGAAGTTTGTCTGTGGGGCATTAGGAAAGATATCCAGCCTTTTAAAGGGAGGGAAATCTGCCTTCAGCATTTTGCTTCTTTACTCTGGCGACAGAATGATTTTTAGGTTATTTATGGCTGGCTCCAAGTGCCACAACAGATAATCTTCTGAATCACAGCAACAGAGGAATGGCAGGCATTTTCCCTGGTGTCATCGTTGAAAAGAGAATTGGTTTATTACCTTTATTACCAAGAGACTTCCCTAGAGGCACCAGGGGTGAAACGCATTTCTTAGAGCAGATCCACTGAACCTTTCCTTCTGGTTGGGAAAGCTCCTGCCCCACAGCTTCGGGGAAAAGAAAAAGGGGATTTCCCCGAAGTTGATGGAAAAACCACCCAAAACGGGGTGGGAGGAGGAGGAACCTTGAGGCCGCCAGGGGGCAGCATGTGACCGTGGCGTGGAGGGAGGGATGCCTCTGAGCATCCATCCTGGGGGAGAGGGATGCTGAGAGGCGCCGTCAGGCCGCGGGCACCCGAAAACCCCCTGTCACAGCCGCCTCTGCAAGGGATGGGGAGCAAAGCCGCTGACAAAAATACCTTCTCACCCAGCACCGCCACGCAACAGCCAGCGAGGCTTCTCCAGTGTCTTTGCCGCTGAAAGATACTTGGTTTGTCTAGAAAGACATCCTTACCGGCATTAAAATGCAAACAGTTGTGCTCAGTAAAGCCCATGGGGATAAACAACAAAGTCTTTGTCTGCAACACAGCCTCTGTTTCTAGTGGTTCCTTTTCCTTTGTGCAGGTAATAAATCCCTTCCAAAGAGTAATGATTTGTCTGGCTTTGTCATTGATCTCTTAGAGATGTTCTGTGGCAACATACCAACACTTTCCTGTCCTCAGAGGACAGGTCCCTTAGGAAGCACTTATGGCAGTTTTATTTCAGAAGTTCTGACACATTTTGTAATGAAAAGAAAATCAATAAACCTGAATAATAGAACTGCGACAAACAAAAGGCACCATGGGGGAGCAGTAAGTTTCCTTACATATCTTATTATCAAGTAATGACAGAGAAAAGTCTCTAGCAGCACCTCTCCACCCCCTTTCCTTCATTCTTCTTCCTCTCAGCTTTGTATGGTTTTAACCTGAGGCAGCTCTACCAGGATGCTGGACTTATACAGGTGATGAGTCAAGCTACATGGGGAAGGAGGAGAGATCCCAGGTCACTGTGTGGTGGTTTCTGTGTGGCTATCACCCCAAGGCAAAAAGGAACAACCGGTCAGTGACACTTTTAGAAAACAGAACTATTACGGATTGGTTTTAGTTGTTTGTTTTGGGGTTTTTTTAACAGCAAAGAATAGGAAGGGGTCGAGAAAAAAAAAATACACACAAAAGCAGATGCCACCTCCCTCAGAAATATAAGTCTTGTTGTGTGCTATGCAGCACAGTACATTTTTCACCCCTTTCTCTCTCCTTGCTTTGTAGGTTTTCCACAGGAAGCTGTTTTTCTTCTGTCAGTGCTTCTTTTGTTTGCAGTCCATCCTTTCCATCCCACTATGCTGGAAGAGTCATGTCTCCTTCGCCAGGGGTGCTGCAAAGGAGGCTGTCAGTCAAACACAAGGCCTTGTGTAGGTGCATGGGCAGCACATGTTTAATGTCAGCTACAGGTTAAAACACAGAGACAGACCCAGAAAAAATTATTTCAGTCTTGTTTGGTTTTGGGTTCCTGCTTCCCTGGGAGACTCAAGCACATGCGACATCATTGAAAACACAGTGCCCGGGAAAGCAGGTATATTGAAATGCTCACAGAATTGTACATTACTACTTTCTGTGCTTTACTTGCATCACAGTCTGTCCATCACCTCCTGAACATGTATACTTCTGTTTACCTCTCTGCTTTCACATCTCCTGTTTCTCACAATTCCTCCCTGCCAATCCTACCTTTTACTTCCATTTCAGCTGGGCAATTCTTCTCCTGCCCTTCCCTGCTCTGTTAAATGTTCAGCTCACATTCCTTCCTCCTGCTCAGTCTCAGGGGCACATCCCTGCACAGCTCTGCCCTTCTTTTGTATCCTGTTCCTTACATGGTTCTCCTCAGTGCAGTGTTTCTACTTAAAATAATCTAAACCGCTTTCCCACATGAAGAGACCTTTGCTCCTCATGCTTCTTTGAATGCATGTGCTGTGCAAGACCATCCCCTCCTCCCAGCTGTCAAATTGCCTCTCCTTCCCAAACCCTCTTTCTGTCTGCATTCCTGACACTGGCCAACTATGTTGTTTCCTGATTTTTCTGTGCCCTTTTCACTGGTTGCCTCCCAACCCCACTGTAAGCAATTTGTGCCAGAGATTCACCCTTAACATTTGATAATTACCTTGGCCACTCAGTTATGTTTCTTAATCCACTTTCTGAAGATGCTTGACCGCTTTTGCTTGAGAGAGTAGAAACACACTGGCTGGGAAAAGAGAAAAAGAAACAAGAAATTTCTCAATGAAGGAAGCAAATGGGTGACCTCTGAAAGATATGAACTTTCCAAACCATTTTATAAGCTCCTTCCTTCTTTCTCCCCATATAAAACATTCAGGAGGGGTAGGGTAGGACTCTAGTTTCTGAGACACCCCCTCTAAGAGCAGAGACCCTCAGGGTACCCTCTAAGGCAGAGCCACCCCAGGGCACAGAGGCTGAACATGGAAAGGGAAGGGAAGGGAAGGGAAGGGAAGGGAAGGGAAGGGAAGGGAAGGGAAGGGAAGGGAAGGGAAGGGAAGGGAAGGGAAGGGAAGGGAAGGGAAGGGAAAGGGAAGGGAAGGGAAGGGAAGGGAAGGGAAGGGAAGGGAAGGGAAGGGAAGGGAAGGGAAGGGAAGGGAAGGGAAGGGAAGGGAAGGGAAGGAAAGTTCTATGGAATCCTGACCAGCCGCTGAGGATCACAGACTCATGGATGGGTGAGGGTGGAGTAGGAGCACAGCAGCTAAAAATCAGTTCTCAAGTAAGTAACAGAAAGGTAACATTACAAAGGAGCACTGAATAGAGGTTTCTGTTAATCTGTGATCCAATAATCTTCTTTCTTTGCCACTTAGCAACAGAATTCCAAACTGAGGATGGAAAGCCAGGGCAACTTAAAATTCCTCTTTTTGCAGAGCAGAGAGGAGAAAAGGCACCTCTCCAGGCAGGCACAACAGATTTCCCAGGTACTGGTCTGTGCCTTTCACCACCGTTATGCAGACACCCAAATTTCAATTTGCCCAAAGTCCAGATCAGGTGGGCAAATAAAATTGTTTATGAGAAACAGCAGACTTTACTCACAGAAACACAGGATTAAGCCAAACAAATACATCCATCCCTGGACTGCATTAAGATCATATGTCACAAGCACAGATGCAGGCTGTGGGAAAACTGGGTTGAGTGCAGCCCTGAATGCCTTCCAGTACATAAAAGGGCCTGCAAGAAAACTGGAGAGGGACATTTTACAAGGGCATGTAGTGACAGGACAAGGGGGAATGGCTTTAACCTGAAAGATGACAGATTTAGATTAGATGTAAAGAAGAAATTCTTTACTGTGAGGATGGTGAGGCACTGGCAGAGGTTGCCCAGAGAAGCTGTGGCTGCCCCATCCCTGGCAGTGTTCAAGGCCAAGCAAGACTGGGCTTTGAGCAACCTGGTCTAGTGGAAGGTGTCCTTGCCTGTGGCAGGGGGATTAGAACTGTATCACCTTTAAGGTCCCTTCTAACCCAAACCACTCTGTGAGTCTTTGATTCTATGATAAGCAGGAGGAACGTAGAAGGGATTAGTGGGCCAAAACTGCTGCACTGGAAATTGCTCTTAACTGTTGGATAAAAACAACACATCTTTGGGGGTTTGCAGTCTCACAGAAATGCACAGAATTGTGCAGGAGGGTGTTATCCTACTGCAATGATCCCTATCCAAAGCTACTGGCCTTTCTCATCCTATCTTTGAGAGACACTCTGCACATGACAGTGCCAGCCTATCTCAGCCCTTTCCCAGGTTCAGT